CTTTCCCTTGTGGTGGCTCTTAGACGGAGCCTTCCTCTTTTTGCCTCTTCCTTGCCCAATAGCCAAAACAGGAGCAGCGGGTGGATTGGGAGTTGGTGCAACAAACTTGTCCTTGAAGTTGCTTTCAGCGACCCTTAAGAGACCTTGGAGCTTGCTTAGGGTGACCTCTTCTTTGTTCATGTGGTAGGTCATCCTAAATTGATTGTAACTTGGAGGCAAAGTGTGGCAAAGTCTTCCCCAAAGTCAACATTTAACTTGCGAAGTCGATCGACATACCTTTGCATCTTTTGCAGGTGCACGGTAAGAGATTCTCCATGACCCATTTTGGCGGAAATCATGTTAGTGAAAATCTCGTAACGCTCTTGCCTCGCGTTTTGGTGGTATCTCTCCAACAAGTCTTGGTGCATTTCGTACGGATACATGTCCTCATAGGACTTTTGGAATTCAAAGTTCATAGTGGTTATCATGATGCAATGAACCTTCGTTGCATCACGCTCATGAGTTTCAAAAGCGGTGATTTCAGCCGGAGTAGCGATTTCAGGATTGATTTTATCGAGCTTCTCATCGAGGACATACCCCTTGTCCTCGTAGCGAGCAATCGTGCGAATGTATCTTATCCATTCGCTAAAGTTCGTTCCATCGAACGTCACCTTTTGGCAAAGGCTCATCAATGTGAACGAGCTTGCAGCAGCGTTGTTCGCGTTCGACATCTACAAATAGAAAGGACAAAGATAGATTAGAATTTGGATCCCTAATTATCACCCAATAAGAAAATTAGGGCTATGATCCAACAACAATATTTACACATTAGAAAAGGGATGTCGTAATCTAATATGCAAACAATTTGAAGGTAAGTGAATGACGATTCACTAATTCTCCACCATGAAAAACATAACTCTAAGTTCTAAATGTATTGAGAATTCATAGGTTCGGATGAGATTCATTGAAACCTTTCAATGGCATGTTTAAATCTCAATATTCCCCTCTTGTTTGTGACTGGGATACCGAGGATCACAAAGCGGGTGTGAATTACCATGCAAATTCACATGGTGCCTTCATTGTAACGATCACCTATTCGATGTGCCGGTAAACCACACACGCTCCATCGAACTATGATAAACAATGAATCACCCTTTGCCACCTTCGCTTAGAACCAATTAGTGTGCCGGTAAACCACACACGCTCCACTAACTTCTTAGCAAGGTGCAAAGTGTAATTTCATGGGATTGCATCAATTCACTTTTCCTAAAGTAACTAGGATTGGGAAATTTTTGAAAAACATGTAGTTACTTTGTATTTCATATTATACTTTTAATGAGAGGATGAGGTTGCCCTATCCTACCCGTTCGGCTAACGACCCTCCACCGATCAAGCAAGCGGTGGGTGTGAGTGTACACCCATTAAGCGTCATTTTATAGGCAACAACCTTATACCCACCTTATAGACCGACTTCGTGAATGAGGTACTAACAGTAAGACTAGATATTAATTATACATACATATATATATATATATATATATATATATATATATATATATATATATATATATATATATATAAACTTGTAATAATATAATAGTATAGGTGTATTTTAAACATTTCAAAAATACTAGGTTTTTAATCTCTAATTTAAAATTTTCGAAATTTAATACCATTTAAATTAAAATTTTAAATATTAAAACTCTTGATTTAATAATTATCACAAATTAAACTCTTAATTTAAATTATTAAATCATAAGGGATTATCTAAATCATGACGATAATTACCATTTAAACAATTAACTTATCATAATCCCTTTTATCCCTCTAAATTTCGAAAATAATGGGATGGGATAATTCAAAATCTTTAATTACCATATTTAACCATTAAAAGATAATTACAAGATATGGGATTATCCAAATCCCTAAAATTTAGGATCTTATCTTGGGGAAGGAGGCAAATCTCGAAATCTAAGGGTTTGCAAACCCTAGATTTCGAAATCTTGGATTAAAAGGAAAGGATTCCAAAAACCCTTTTCAAGATTTTCGCAAATTAGGGTTAGGAAACTCTAATCTCGAAATCTATGGCCTCCTAGGGTTTATTGGCTATAAACCCTAATTTGTCAAGTTCATACAATTGAATAATACTAACTGAAAACAAGTTAACCAAAGGCTCTGATATCACTGATGGGTTTTATACAAACAATCATATGTGTGCATGCAACCCTAATTTGGATCTATGTTTTCACTATTAGATACACAACATTATGATCACATGGATAAAACCCTAATGTAGCATGCTATTTTCGAAATTCATATATAAGGTTATATCACATACCTCTTGTTGTTATATTGCAATAACAACTTAAATCTTCAAACCCTTAGTCTTGAAAGCAAGCACCACAAGTATAGTGCCTCTAATGGCTCACAAACACCACAAGCAATTGGAGAGGCTATAGAAATAGAAGGGATGAGGTGGAAATCGTCCTTGGGACTTCTTAGAAGCATGTACACGAATTCCCCAAGGCCTAGGGGTCTTTATATAGGGTTTAGATTGGGGGTTTCAGTCCTTATCCTTATCCAGTTACTTACCCACCAAGCAACCATAAGATAAGCCTTGAAAACCCTTATCTCTTGGACCTTGGACGATTTTAAGGATATCCTTATCCTTGAATTCGTCCATCCTTAAACAAGGATAACCATTGCCCTATTTTGCAACTATCACATAATTACAATTAAGCCCCTCTAGTTTAATTAATTACAATTAATCACAAAATTAATTCCTAATTAATTATTGACCAATATTAATTAAAAAAAATATGATTTCTCCTTTAATATATTATTCTTATAACATATTAATAAATCATAATAACCTCTTTCTCTATTTATTTCTCCAGTCAAGTTGCTTTGGTGAAAGCAACCCAAAAGGACCATGCACAACCGGGTCAAATACTTGCCTAATATAGTTGCAGCCTTAGACACTATTCCAAAATTATATGCAACAAGGTTCAATAAAGGTTAATGATTTGGGTTTTAGGACATATGATTAGATCTGAAAGCTATACCTCTACACAAGCTCCATTACTAGATTAAGCTCATAAATAGGCCAAAAGGTAACCTAAATGAGATTTCTAAAGATAAGCAACCAAGGAACAGAAAGAGTCCGATTAATACCTCCAATGACTCTGAAATGGATGCAAGATCTTGTTTCCCTTCTTCTCCTTTGGATCTAGCCTTCCTCTTCTCTTCCAATCTTCACTCTTTACACAAAAATGCCCAAAAACACTAAAGATAGGTTAAGGTGTTGCTATGAAACGTTCTGAGGGTGAGGGAGGCCAGATTGGGCGCATAATGGGGATTATATAGGGTGCAAAACCCGTGGATCTAGGGTTTCTTCCAGACCGGCATACTCGCCGAGTCTAGGATATGGACTCGTCAAGTCGCCCACTTTCACGTGCTCGAAATCCTGTCTCTACTCGACGAGTCGGGCAACAGACTCGTCGAGTCCCTCTTGAAAAACTTGGAAAAATAAACATTTAAATAACATACCAGAAATGGGGACGTTACAATTATTTTATTATTTTTTATTTATTTTACTTTTTAAATGAACTAAGGAGCAAAGTTAAATGATTAATTTAACGAAAGTTATTATTATTATTATTATTAATATATATATATATATATATATATATATATATATATATATATATATATATATATTAAAGAAATGAATATTAGGAATAGTAAACTTGTCATTTTTTGGTAGAATTGGTTCCTGTATTATTGTTAGGCTTCAAAGTTAGGAATAGTAAATTTGGATTTTTTTTGGCAACTTTGCTCTTTATTCTTTAGCTATTTTGACACTTTTGGTCATTGCAATCAATATTTTTACACTTTTAGGAACCTTTTAGTATTGAAAGTTTGGCCACAAAACTTTAACGTTTTGACAACTTTGATTCATTTTTTAAAAAGTTGTTAATTCTTACCCATTTAATTTTTTAGCCATTTTGATACTTCTGGTCCTTGCAGTCAAAACTTTTACATTTTTTCATAAAAGCATGAAAAAAACGGTCTGGGGCAAAGTCCGAGCTTTTCATCGTTGCATTTTCTACGTCTGTCATATTTATCGATTCGGAAATAATATTGAAAGCTTCTGGCACCGCATAGCGGAGTAACTTTTCTAGTTGTTATTATTATTATTATTATTATTATTATTATTATTATTATTATTATTATTATTATTATTATTATCCACTTCAAATATATTTATAATTAGATTATTTAATTTTCTTTTAATTAATATATGTTAAAAAGAAGAAGCACATACACAGACCCCACACAGGCAGTCAGGCTCACACCCCTTCCCGAATCCCGACCGCGCGCGCAAGTTTCTTCAAATTAGGGTTTCACAAATACCATTGTTGCAAAACCCCTCATCTCTGGTGCATGAAACTGGACCATAGGGTTTTAATAAGTTGGTGTTTGGGATTGAGTTTTAAAATAGCTTATTGTCACATAGCCTCCTTCACAAACGTTCTGCAGCTTCCCACACCGGCGACCCTTCTCCGATCTCCGCTCCAGACATCCGATTGCCGGCACCGGCGCCGGCTACTTAGTTCATCTCTGGTCTCCCGGTAAGTTCCACTTCCCTTATCTGGTTCGTTACACCTCTTGGATGATAAACACATGATTTCTTGTTCGATTTTGAATCTAGAGCTCAATTCCTGTCTGATTAATCCGATTCCTAATATCTGGTTTGGTGTTAATCTCATTTTTTTTTTCTGGTTCGGTGCTCCCCTGGGTCGATAAAGCAGTTGTTTTTTCTAATAGGTGAAGCACATGAATTTATTGTTCCAATTAAGCACATGATTTTTTTTTTTTTTTTTCGAATTGATGAAGCAGAGATTTTAAGACTCTAGGGTTGGTTTTATCCGATTGTTGAAACAGGGCAGTATACTACAGCTTTCTGGGATGACTGATGCATATTTCTTTATGAATTGTAGCAGCTTAATTCAATAGAAATGGCTTCAACGGGGCCACAACAATCATCATCTTCACTGAAGAGGCGTGATTCAACTGTGACTAGAGAATCAGATTTACTCACCATAACTCCATTAGGCGCTGGAAGTGAAGTTGGAAGATCATGTGTATTCATGACTTTCAAAGGAAAAACTGTTATGGTACACTACAGATTCATTCATTATTCTATCATTACTTTCATTCTTTCAGTTTTCCTAGTTTTGGATGATGATTTCTTCTTCTCTTGATAGTTTGATTGTGGAATTCATCCTGCATTTTCGGGCATGGCTGCTTTGCCTTACTTTGACGAAATCGACCCTTCTACCATTGATGTTCTTCTCATTACTCAGTAAGCTCTGCTACTTTCTGCAGCCTTTATAAGTTGTTGATTATCTTTTTAACTATACATTGCAATCGTGTGCAGCTTTCACTTGGATCATGCTGCATCCCTTCCATATTTTCTGGAAAAGGTTTGTTTATGTTAATATGTTATTTCACTATTCTCTAATCTTACATTTTCATATTTACCTAAATACCATTGGTTGTTTTTTCAGACCACATTTAAAGGAAGGGTCTTCATGACTCATGCAACAAAGGCTATTTACAAGTTACTTCTATCCGATTATGTAAAAGTGAGCAAAGTTTCAGTTGAAGACATGTTATTCGATGAACAAGACATCCTTCGTTCCATGGATAAAATTGAGGTGTGTTTTAGACTTTTAGTGTTCCATTTTTCATCAAAAGACCAAAATACCCTCATGATTTTTACATTGTCCACCTCATGCAGGTAATCGACTTCCACCAAACCCTAGAAGTGAACGGAATCCGTTTCTGGTGTTACACCGCCGGCCACGTCCTGGGTGCCGCCATGTTCATGGTGGACATCGCCGGAGTCCGCGTCCTCTACACCGGCGACTACTCCCGCGAGGAAGACCGCCACCTCCGTGCCGCCGAACTCCCCCAATTCTCCCCGGACATCTGCATCATCGAATCCACCTACGGTGTCCAACTCCACCAATCCCGCCACATCCGCGAGAAACGCTTCACCGATGTCATCCACACCACAATCTCCCAAGGTGGGCGTGTGTTAATTCCCGCTTTTGCCCTTGGCCGGGCCCAAGAACTCCTCTTAATCCTCGACGAATACTGGTCAAACCACCCGGAATTACACAACGTCCCGATATATTACGCGTCGCCCCTCGCCAAACGTTGCATGGCGGTTTACCAAACTTATATAAACTCGATGAACGAGAGGATCCGGACACAGTTCGCGAATTCAAACCCTTTTGATTTTAAACATATTTCACCCTTGAAAAGTATCGAGGAATTCAACGATGTGGGCCCGTCTGTGGTGATGGCGAGCCCCGGGAGCTTACAGAGCGGGCTCTCGCGACAGTTGTTTGATAAATGGTGTGCGGAGAAGAAAAACGCGTGTGTGATTCCGGGGTATGTGGTGGAAGGGACATTGGCTAAAATGATTATAAATGAACCGAAAGAGGTGACTTTGATGAACGGGTTGACTGCGCCTTTGAATATGCAAGTTCATTATATTTCGTTTTCGGCTCATGCGGATTGTGCGCAAACGACTACTTTTTTGGAGGAGTTGATGCCTCCGAATATCATTTTGGTTCATGGGGAAGCGAATGAGATGGGGAGGTTGAAGCAAAAGCTTGTGAGTTTTTTTGTGGATCGGAATATTAAGATTTTTACACCGAAGAATTGTCAGGCGGTTGAAATGCAGTTTAATTCGGAGAAAATGGCGAAAACGATTGGGCGGTTGGGGGAGAGGGAACCGGAATCGGGGGAGAATGTTAGCGGGGTGTTGGTGCGGAAAGGGTTTTCGTATCAGATAATTGCGCCGGATGATTTACATGTTTTTTCTCAGTTGTCGACCGCAAATATCACGCAACGGATTACTATTCCGTATTCCGGTGCTTTTGGTGTGATCAAGCATCGGTTGAAGCAGATTTACGAGAGTGTATCGGAATCAGTGATTCCGACGGAATCGGAATCGGTGATTCCGTCGGAATCAGAATTGGGGATTCCGGTGTTGGTGGTTCATGGGAAGGTGACGGTGAGGAGGGAATCGGAGCGGCATTTGGCGGTGGAGTGGGTGGCGGATCCGATAGGTGATATGGTGTCGGATTCGGTGGTGGCGTTGGTGTTGAATGCGGGGAGGGAGATGGTGAAGGTGGTGGTGGAGGCGGAGGAGGTGGTGGATGAGGTGGAGGAGGGGAAGAAGAGGGAGAAGATTGTGCATGCTTTGTTGTTGTCTTTGTTTGGGAATGTCAAGTATGGGGATGATGGGAGGTTGGTGGTTAGGGTTGATGAGAATGTGGCGTATCTTGATAAGAAGAATGGGGAAGTTGAGAGTGAGAATGAGGGGTTGAAGGAAAGAGTGAAGGTCGCCTTTAGGAGAATTCAGACTGCAGTGAAACCGATTCCGGTGTCGGAATCGTAGTTGCTGTTTTAGAGGCTGGAATGAATTTGTGTAGGAATAGATGTGTTTGTAGAGCCTTGTAAGTGTCAAAACTTTGCAACTTGAGACTCCTGTTTATTTGACATGTTGATGCCAAGTTAAAAAGGATCGTGTTCTTTTAAGGTGCTTATTTGATAATCATATGTTTTTAATAAGGGTTAATGATTTATAACAACCAACAATACTAGATTTGTTTTTGGAGTCGTTATTTTTTTTAACTGATTGGAGTCAATTTCAACCATATTGAAATGTGCATGCCAGAATTTGTTTACTTATGTTCATGCGACGCTTATATGGTGTGCAATATAGTTTTTATTTTTAAAATTTTAAAATCATTATAATATTTGTATTTTGTTTTATTTTAATTATAACAACCAACAATACAAATTATGTTATTTTGGATGTCATGTAGGATTAAGTATCAGTTTACCCACTTGAAATTCACCCCAATAGGGATAACGAGAACAATTAGAAGATGAGTCACCCAAAAAATGTTGATTGATACATCGAGTACAATTAGAAGACGAGTGGTCTAAAGAGCAAATTGAATACTATTTGGTTATCATTTTATGACAAACTTTTTTTTAATAATGTTTTAGTGAAAAAAAAAATTTGGACCACATCTTTTTCCATAAACATGGAAAAAGATTAAAAATATTTTACCACTTCAAAAGCAAATACTATCTAGGAGTGCAACATAAATTAGTAGGGGTAAATGCGAAAAGGAAAATAGGCAAAAGGAGCAGTAGGCTAAAAGAGGGAAAAGTGATGTAAAGGTAGCAAAATGGTGAAAGATAAAATTGCAAAAATGATCCCTGTGGTTGTCAAAATTCTGCAGTTTTGATCCAAAAAAGTTTGGCGGTGCATCACTGGTCCAATTTCGAATACCTTATGCGGTTTTGGTCCCTATAGTTGGAATTGTTATGTGTTTTTGGTCCAGACCCAAAATGAAATGACGAATATGCCCTTTGATAATTCTTTTTTATTTATTTTTAATTTGTTATTACTATTTTAATTAAAAAATAAATTAAAAAATTAAAATAAAATAACCCTACCCTCTCTCTCTCTCTCTCTCTCTCTCTCTCTCTCTCTCTCTCTCTCTCTCTCTCTCTGTAGCCATTCTCCAAACACCACCACTCAGTTTTGATTTAGGGATTTTGAAGATTGCTTCCAAAAATTTAACAAAGAACCACCGATGGACCACCCGATTTCCTCCTTGAACACCACTATTCTCATCACGGTAACCAGAAAACACCACAACCGGGACCATCCTTCTTTCTTCATCTCCAGAAAACACCACCAACGGAAACCTTCTTCATTCATCGGTGGTCCCGATCTATATTTTTAGGGCTATGGTTTCCCTGTGGTGACAAATGGTGATGGTATGCGACAAAAATGGTGGTGGTCAGATCCATTGTGCAGAAGTTCAATCAAACACAGTAGAGCACCAGAAATTAACTTGAGAAGGTGAACGAGATGGAGCCCCCTATAGAAGAAGAGAAGAACGGTCATACACAAGCCCTAATTTTCAAAAACTAGTTCAGGAGTGTCACACCCCCAAACCAGAACGACGGAAACGTTCGGGGGCGGAGGACGTCATATTCAGTATCATAACAGTTCATAGAAAGGAAAGTACACACCACCATATATATTAAAGTTTCCAAGATGTTTACATAATTGTATTCATTACATGTTCAAAAGATAAATACATAAACATCATTCAAAAGAAGTAATTAACGCCAGCGCGTTAATCCCAAAAGTTGATTCCCAAACCTGCTTAGCGGTTCCCTGAGAATACAAGTTATTTCAAAGAAAAAGTGTCAACAATTATGTTGGTGAGTTCAATAGTAGTTTAGAAAAATTGGATGCTATTCCAAAATGGGTGTATGTTTTCCAGAAAAACTCAGTATTTCAAGTGTGAAGAGTTGTGACTTGTTGTATTGAAAATGAATGTATTAGATCCTGAAAATCTCATATTTTCCCTAATGGATGAGATATGATTTGTTGTATCTTCCAAGAAAAACCCTTATTTTCTTATAAAAGTATGAAATGCATATGAATGTTCGTGTCATAAGTTGTAAGTAATTGCACCAGGAAAATCCCTTATCTTCCTATTAGTTGTTTGGTTTGTATACAGGAAAAACCCTTATTTTCCTAACATGGCTGGCAGTCTCTAAGACTGAAAATCGCAAGAAAACGACATTCTTAAAAGTTGTGTCATAGTTTTATATAATAAAGCTATACGAAGATCGCGTTTGTTAGCTGAAGAATAGTTTTAACAGTCACTCGTTCATAAAAGCATAATACCATAATAATTGTATATCCGATGAGTTTTATAACCATACTAAACATAATATGCCTGTAACGACGTTCTTCAGGCGTCGCAGCGTTATGACAACTGTCACCCCAAAGGACGGACTGTAGCTAACAGTCAGGGCGTGGGATCATGACTTCCCGTATAGATCTATACACATTTGACACGTTCTCCGAACGGGAGACTCTGGTTATAGACAGGACTTACAGCATTACTTTCTAATAAAGAAAAGTAACGTTTGAAGATATATACGTCTCATGGATTCTCAACTAAGCCTGTATTAAAGTGATAGTTTTTGTATGCAAAGTTTATCCTTTTTCACAATGTTTGACGAAACATGAATCATAAGTTTTTAGAATGTATAAAACAACTTAACGGATGAAAGGTACTTTGAAATCATTATATACTTTGCATAAGTCTAATGCACACAAAGTATGACAGGAGTTTTCCATAATAGTAATGAGTTCCAAGTGATTTATTCGGTAAAACAAGTGAAGTGAAACTTTATAAAATACACGATAATAACCGTATGTTTACTTGTATTCCCCCCTAAAAGAGTATAAAAGCATTTAAAAATGTATTTAAAGTGTGTTTGAAAGGGGTATGAACTCACTTGATTGAAGTGGTTGATTTGAAGTAGTCGAGAGAAGAATCGAGCAGAACTTCGATAGGAAGAGTTGAAAACGCGGGAAATCTCGAGATTCTCGGGAATCTTGGGAACACAAAACCTTCCTTCGGGACTTGAAGGTGAAAACCGGGGCTTCGGGAGGGTCTCGGGGGCTTAAACGCAGAGTTTCGGCGCGAGAAAGAAAGGAACTGAGCAATGGAGCTCGGAACCCTTGAAATCTACTTATAGGGGCGTTTTTGGGGTGTTCCACGTCGTGGCAAGTGATGGCCACGTCGTGGGGAGTCAAGCTTATCGTCTTCCATTGATTGGACGCCCTCAGTCACTTGCCGGGTCGCGGCAAGCTTGTGCCACGTCGTGGCAAGCCTGACAGCCTCAGATTTCGGACCTCGAACTTGTAAAATCCATAACTTTCGCGTACGAACTCCGTTTTCGACGTTCTTTATATGCACGCGTAGCTAAAAACATGATCTACAACTCTCGTTTAGACTTCATCGGCAAATTCTGAATTTTTTTTAATTATTTATTTTTAACGGGCCGGGACGCGATAATTCCGTTAGAAATCCATAACTTCTTCATCCGATGTCCGTTTTCGTCAGACTTTTCATCGTTGCGCTACTAATGTTGAGACCTTAGATTCTCATTTAGGTTGTTTTGGTCAAAAGTATCTTGAGCTCTATTTCGAGTTTTTAGCTGTCTACTGCTATACCCGAATCTTGGAAAAATCATAACTTTCTCATACGAAGTCAGATTTGGACGTTCTTTTTATGTACGCTCACGGTTTGAGGTTATCTATAACTTTAATTTAGATACTTAAGGCTAAAAACTATTGTATTGAAACTTCGCGTTTTTCGTTTAATCGGTGTTGCCGGTTTTGCCGAGAATCTTCGGTTGGTCATAACTTCTTCGTTATAACTCGGATTTTAGGGTTCTTTATATGTACGAAAACCTTGATACGATTCCTACTACTTTATTTAACCGAAATAAGATTTTAGGAAAGTTATATTTTGACCTAAATTTGATTGGTTTTACATTACATTGTCTCGAAATATCGGGTTGTCACATTATCCCCCCGTTAGAAGGAATTTCATCCCGAAATTAGAATTTAAGCAAGGAAGTATGCACGAATGATCGAGTCGTGAGGAGGAAACTTCCTAATCGATTGGTTCTATTGCACCTAAGTGATAACGGGTTCTCGGTTGGCATTCCAACGAAGGTGAGGATCTCGACGAGTGGACTTGCAAGAGTCCTAACGGAAAGGTATGGTTTCACGATCGAGATGCGAAGAGTAGAAAGTACGTTACTGAGTTCGCGGAGTAGGTCTAGTTTGTGTGAGGCACATGACCGATTCTGATAAGAATCTCGGAGGTCTTGTCTAACTTGTATTTAGCTTTCCACGCTTTACGAAGCATATTAAGCCATTCCCAGAGTGAGTTATCCTAAAGAACTTGGTCACTCACTTGGAATCTCAAAGGTTCCTTTTCTTGCGTAACCTCCCAGTCAAAGGCCATCCCTTGCTGGGTCAAAGTCGTACGAGTTTCTGTAGCTTGCGAGGAGTTCTGAATGAACTAAGGCGGTAGGTCGGTAAGACCTAGAATCTGGCGAAAGACTGTCGGCGTCTCTGATGTCGATAAATGATCAACGGTTTTGACAAATTGCAAAAGTGCTCAATATTTCTCACATTACTAACGGCGTGTCTTTGGAAATTTGACTCTTCAATTTCAAAACTCGTGCTTTGAGAACATCACTAAAAGTTCCTCTGAAGGAAATGTTTTCCCATGGGTTCCTTCTTACCTACTCGTTTAGCTCATAAAAGCTATGGGCGTATTGGTCCTATCCGAAGGGTATCACTACGGACTCGAAGTGTCCGCATCGAGTTCAGGAGATAGTCTTCCAGACATCTTTCCCTAACACTCGAACTGGTGATATTCGGATCCCGGATCCATTCCTGGAAGTAGTTTCTTTCTTTGCGTTTGCTCAACCATTTTGTCTACCCGCGGCAGAGATAACGATTTCTAATGAAAAATCTCGACGGAGTCTTCG